GTGGGTTGATCCAAAGAAGAGGGGACTGGTTGGAGAGTGGACAGGTAGACATTTGTTGGAGGAGCAATAGAGCGGACTGCCACTTGGAATTCCGAGAGAACTTGAACGAGATGTGTGGAGGTTAATCCCCTGCTCAGTGTGAAACACAAACAATCCTTCCAGGGGGAGAAGGCCAGACATCCAGTATGCAGGATGACTTCCTGCCAAAAGGCAAAAAACAAAAATCACGTTAGACTCAGAGAAACAAAGACTCAGTTAGACTCAGCTAAACTCAGCTTGGCTAGAGTACCCAAAACTGGCAAACACTTTGGCGCCAAGGTAGTGACAGTCCACTGCTTAAGTACTCCTCCCGATAATGATCCACGAGACACAGGTGTGCAGGGAGGACCAATGAGGGTGGGGCACCACCTAGTGGAGAAACACAAAAACAACCCACAAAAACTGGATTCCTGACACAGATACAGCACTGGGACTTGATCAACAGCCGATACCGCACCGTGACATCACAAACCTGTAGGTGGAAGTAGTGTTCTTTGACAAACATGGATGCCTCCAGTAAAGCACATTCACATGAAAATTACTCTGAATTAAAATCACTTATCATTTATTGAACAGGATGGAATAATTTTAAATTTAAAGAACTTTCAGAAGTTTGACTTCTGAATATGACCGGACTTTTCCTTTAACAGTTGCTACATTTGATCTCTGCTGAAAATAGAAATTGAAATGTGGAAACCTCACCATGCCTTATCGTCTTTGGAAGTTATATTCAGCTCAGTTTTATTTTAGTTTTGCACCAGTTCTCGACATTTCATCCTTAAGCTCTTTTCTGAGTCATTTTAATCAGACAGGTTCAAGTTTTCAACCTAAGGAAACCAAGCAGATCACATCCAGTCATTGACTGTGCAGTAATCCCTCATACAGATCATGCATATGGCGACGGTGGACAGAAAAAAAGACTTCATTTTAACAGGATGAAACCTCCTGCAATGACTGCCCTTGCTCATCCCTACATGTAGCTAAACTGGTAACTCAAAGATCAATCAGGTAAACCCTTCAGATCAGATAGATAATATTTAAATACTTACCATCTCTGATAAAAAAAGAGCATGCAACCATTAAATAGTTGATTTTAACCAGATACAGAGGAAGGATTATGGGACTTTCATTCCAGAAGGAGTCCATGTCTGACCAGCAGAGATGTGAACGCAACGATTTCCCTTTGGGAGGCGTTTGATCTTGTTAAACCAGACAGAGTCCCAAAGACAGCAGTCAGACATAGATCCACTTCATTCTGCCAGGCAGCCTTGGTTTTAGGAATAGAGTTATTGCTAAGTTCCAGAATGAAACCATAAAGCAAATTTCTGGAGTCGAACATGTGATCCATTCCTGGATTACACACAGGATGTGGGCTGCATGGTGTAGCCCCACGGAATGTATCTCTATCCTGGTTTTCAGTTCCAGGTCTGGGGGCTTTTCTGCAAAATATGCCGATTAGGTTAATTGATGTCTCCAAATTTCCCTTTGGTGTTTATGTCTGTTAATGACTGGTTACCCTGTAACTCTGATGGACAAGTGGTAGAAAATTATTGGAAAAATATGCCAAATGGATGAAAATGTATGGATTTAAATGAAGATTATTTTACTAAATATTGTCATTCAAACTGGAAGTGGGTTTTTCTGTCTGTAATTCTCCTTCTGTTGGAGTCATTGTTTAGTTTTGAATGTTTCTCACTTTCGCTGGCTGCCAGTTTTCAGTGTGCAACGTGTCAGCCTGAGTTTTCTCAGATTAAAGTCAAAGACCTAAAGGTGCACAGATACTTACTGTGGTTCAAAGCGTCCTTGTCAAAAATCTTTTGGTTTCTCTTTTTTTTTATAAGATGCAAAGAAGAGGGGAGTAAATATTTGAATCATATTCCTATTTCTGTTTTCTTTTCCCTTTAAAGTTTTTACATCAACATTTTATGAGGCCAAATCAAATCCAATAATCTCAGAAGGAATTTCAGGAAGCTTCTCTTTAGGAGTTTAACACTTTGTCACTTACATCTGGGCTGATTAATTTGTTCTCCTAGGAGTACCATGCTCAGCTAGAAGAGATGAGAGTCTCCATCAGGCAGCTGGAGGAGGACCTGTCTGCAGCCCGTCGCCGTAGCGACCTGTACGAAGCTGAGCTGAAGGAGTCTCGACAAGCCAACGAGGAACTGAAGAGGAAGGCTGCAGACTATCAGCACAGGATTCAGAAGGTCCTCAGCAGCGCTAAAGCTGTCCACAACCCAAAAGTCTTCTTGGCAAAAATACTCCAGCTAATGGAAATGTCAATAATTGGTAGTTATGGTCATTTTTCATAATCATTCCTCTGTCACCACAGGCCAAAGAGCAGAGCAAAGCAGAGGTAGAGGAGATGATCACCAAACTGGAAAAGGTGGGTCCAAAAGAGAAACCCACCTGCATCATCCGGTGAACATTTAATTCTTCTGTCAAGGAGCAAAAGTTTGGTTTAATCTCCAAATATCTGCTTTGGTCTTAGGCCAGCGCAGAGCAGCAGCAGAGGATCCAGGACCTGCAGGAGAAGCTCGCAAAGGTAGAATATGAAGAATCATTTATGACGGGTTGTCCTCCTCCTTTCAGAGGAGTCTTTATATTCAAAGCTCACCTTTGCTGACCTCGTCCTTCCTCTGCCTGTCTCTCCTGGAATCTGCTTCTTATTAAGTGTCTGCTCAGAGAGCAATCAGCAGACTGAATATGAAGGGTCCTCTTTAAATATGCCAGATTTTCATCCTAAAGGCGATTTTCTATTAAAATTAAGGAAAGTTCTGCTGCTGATGAGGCGGATGGAGCAGCAGAAAACGGTTACATTTTGTCTCCATATAACCGCAGACTTTACCGTGCTTAGTCGCGTTTATGTGGATCAAAGAAAACAGAAGCAAAATTATGAGATGGAAGAAAAATATAGCATTTTCCTGTTTCATTTACAATTAAAGTTAATTTTTTTTTTTTTTTTTTATAATTTTCAAAATAAGATCCACTGCAATGAAAAGCCTGAAGAAAGCACCTGATTAGTAGAATAACTAGTTTGTGGTTAATAACTCCAGCTGTTCTAAACAAACATCATTATAAAGGCCAAGAAAAATTGCAGAACAATTTGTGTGGAAGTTTAAAGCAGAGTTAGACAGATCTGTCTGTCAGATCTAAAAGGGAAAATAGAAGGAAACAGCTGCAAATCTACCACTGATGAAGGAGAGCATTAATGGAAGGAGCAGGTTACTCTGGAGGAGCTACAGAGGCTCAAAGCAGGGAGATTCAAGCTATTTGCTTGTAGTTTGAAAATGAAGGAAACTCAGCAAACGTCTAATGAAGGTGATCTGGTGACATCGGGTCAAAGTGGAACATGGTGCTGATCTTCAGCAGGAACATAAATGGAGAGATGCAGCTAAATGCAGCAACCAACGTTCAGAGCTATGGAGGGAATTTGGCTCCAATATTTCTGCAAGTAAAAAAAAAAACACACATTCAACAAATTCAATTTGGCAAGAATAAAATAAAAAAAATGAAGAAATGAAAACAATTTTAGCATTTCGTTTCA